AGAGGGGGTGCACACGGGGTGCGGTCTCTATGCGTTGCAGGTGCGGGCACGGCAGGCGCGGCATTTTCTCGACACCAGGAGGATGCGCAAGGGGGTGCGGTCTCTATGCGCTGCAGGTGCGCAGGGCGCGGCAGGCGTGGGAATTCTCGACACCAGAGGGGGTGCACATCGGGTGCGGTCTCTATGCGTTGCAGGCGCGCACGGCACGGCAGGCGCGGCAATTTCTCGACACCAGGAGAATGCGCAGGGGGTGCGGTCTCTATGCGTTGCAGGCGCGCAGGGCTCGGCAGGCGTGGCACTTTCTCGACACCACAGGGGCGTGCACAGGGGGTGCGGTCTCTTGCGTTGCAGGCGCGCAGGGCACGGCAGGCGCGGCATTTTCTCGACACCAGGAGGGTGCGCGGGGGCTGCGGTCTCTATGCGTTGCAGGCGCGCAGGGCGCGGCAGGCGTGGGAATTCTCGACACCAGAGGGGGTGAACAGGGGGGGCGGTCTCTATGCGCTGCAGGCGCGCAGGGCGCGGCAGGCGCGGCATTTTCTCGACACCAGGAGGGTGCGCAGGGGGTGCGGTCTCTCTGCGTTGCAGGTGCGCAGGGCATGGCAGGCGTGGGAATTCTCGACACCAGAGGGGGTCACAGGGGGTGCGGTCTCTATGCGCTTCAGGCGCGCAGGGCGCGGCAGGCGTGGCAAAGTCTCGATAACAGAGGGGGGTGCGCGTGGGGTGCGGTCTCTATCCGTTGCAGGCTCGCACGGCGCAGCAGGCGTGTCATTTTCTCGACATCAGAGGGGGCGCGCAGGGAACGGCCACCAACATCATTCTCACATGCTTCTTTTCAGCTGTCATCACTCCAGCCATAATATAAGTATGTGGGGTTCCTCGGTAGCGTAATTGAAGGTTTTTTGCTTCTCGGGGGCCATCTGGGGTTGTTTGGAGCGCCTCTTGAAGCGTCCACTCCAGACCGCCTGTGGACCACAGGCGGTCTTGAGCAGTCGGAGACCCCTGGAGGCCGTCTTGGGGGACATTTGGGGCCGTCGCGGGCCAATTGCACGGCTGTCTGGTGGCTCTCCGGGGCGAGGTCGGGTCGCCCAGAGGCGGACCCGGCACCCGGCACACACACAAACACACACACACACACACGCACGCACGCACGCACGCACACACACACACAAACACACGCACACACGCACACACACACACACACACACACGCACGCACGCACGCACGCACACACACAAACAAACACACACACGCACACACACACACACACACACACTCTCACTCACTCACTCACTCACACAAACACACACAAACAGGCACATACAAATACGAACACACACAAACACACACAAACACTTGTGGCAGTGGTCGTGGCCCCCAAACCCCCCGGCGCGGTCCCTCGTTATATGTGTATATACACACGCACTAGAATCGTCGCGCGCGCTTCGCGCGCGCTCAGGTTGTAACGCAGGGCGAGCTGTCGCTGGAACAGCTTGGACAGAGCTATCATGCATAAGCGTGTGCTAAAGCCGCACCAATCCTTACCCTCATCCTCATTCCCATCCTCATTCTCATACTCCTCACCATCATCTTGATCGTCGTCATCGAAATACTGATCATGGTCATAACCAAAGTAATAACGATTAACAACAAGGTCATCAATCACAACCTTGACCTGGTGCTGCCAGCCATGCCGTCACGCCAAGCTCGCGTATCATCATCATCATCATCATCAGCATCATCATCAGCATCATCATCAGCAGCAGCAGCATCATCAGCGGCATTATCATCATCACCATCACCAACATCTTCATCATCATCACCATCACCATCATCATCAGCATCATCATCCTCATAAGCATCGTCGTCATCACAACTGTCACCACCACCACCAGCACCAGCACCAGAACCATCACCCTCATCATAAGCACCATCATCACCATCCTTCCTCATCATCAGTACCATCATCATCACCATCGCCATCACCATAACCATCATCATCACCACCGTCATCATCACCAACACCATCCCTCCCCATCATCATCATCATCATCATCATCATCATCATCATCATCATCATCATCATCATCATCACCATCACCATCACCATCACCATCACCATCATCCATCATCCATTACCATCCTCATCTTCATCAGCAACATCACCAGCATCATCATCATCACCAACATCACCATCATTCTTATCCTCATCCGAATCCTCATCTTCACTGCCACTCCCACCACCAGAGTCATCAACACCGCTACGCCGTTCGTGCACGTCGTCACTGCCTTTGTCTTGCCCATCATCCTCATAATCACCAACTGGCCATCGCTCGCACGTCCATTCCCTGTGCTTTTTTGGTTTCGTGCGTGGTTTTTTCGCCAAATGATCCAGGATGCTCCTCGATGGTCCTCGCCGAAGGAAAAATGCACACGTCCGAACAATGCCAAGCCAAAATGAACATCATCATCGTCGTCGTCGTCCTCGGCCCAGAATTCCCCGAAGGGCCGCCAGGAACATCCGGCCGACTGCGCGCCTCGGGCAGCCTCTTGGAGGCGTGTTTACTTCAGAGGGCGGGAGGGGGGGGGCTCCAGGAATCTGCTTCCAAAATCGGGCGGGTCCAAACTCGGGGGTTCCAAACTCGGGGGTTCTGCGTTTTTCAAGGGGCGGGAGGGGGGCTCCCGCCCCCCGACGAGACCGAGCGGGCTCCTGGAATCTGCTTCAAGGCTCGCTCGGTCTCTCCGGGTCCTCTTCTGTCGCTTCGCAAGAGCCCCTTGGACCGTGTGGAGGGCATCCGGAGGCCTGAGGGGCCAGCCCATCGAGAGAGAGAGAGAGAGAAAAAAAAAAAACGAGTTCTTTCTTCAGAATCTGCAGTCTCCCATTGGTGACTGAACGATTTGGACGTCCAGCTGGACTCTTGCAAGCCTCCTTGGGGCGTCTTGGAAGCTTCTTGGAGGCCTCTTGGTGCTGCCTTGGTGCCTCGAGAGGGCTTCGCAGGCTGTCATTCGGGTGGCCCTTGGCCCGTCGGAAGCCTTCGAAAGCCGACACGCCGGGCTCTTCGAGATCGCTTGGGTCGCTTTGGGAAGCTCCTGATGGCTCGGAACCGTCCTCGTGGCCTCTGGGGCTCCTCTCGATCTCTCTAGGGCAAATTTGGGGCCCTCCAGAAACTTCAGCGACACCGCTGGATTGAGAAGGAGTCAGAAACATGATCAATGCCATGATGATCACCTTCACCATCATGGCCACCATCACCATTAACATAGCATCCGCATCCTCCGCATCGTCATCATCACCGTCTCCATCGTCGATGTCGATCTCAACATCAGCACCATCATCATCATGAACACAATGGAACGCATCATCATCATCGTCATCGTCATCGTCATCGTCATCATCAGCAGCATCATCGTCATCATCGTCATCATCATCATCAGCAGCATCATCATCATCATCAGCATCATGATCATGATCATGATCAGGATCACCATCATCAGCAGCATTAGCATCAGCATCATCACCATCACCATCACCATCATCAGCATCATCATCACCATCGACTTCATCATTATCGTCATCGTCATCATGATCATCATCACCACCACCGTCATCATCGTCATTATCATCACCATCGGCATCATCATCATCGTCATCGTCATCGTCGTCATCGACGTTACCATCACCATCATCGTCATCATCATCATCAGTAGCATAATCGTCATCATCATCACCATCGTCATCAGCAACAGCATCATCATCATCATACTCATCTTTATTATCGTAGTTATTCTCATCATCGCAACCATCTGCATCAATACCTTCGTCATTAACATCTTGGTTACATCTTGGTCCATCCTTGAGGCCTCCAGGACGCCTCATGGGAGCCTCTTTTTTAACAGCTGGCACTCGACCAGGAAAATAACGGTGTCGTTTGGCAATCGCCGCGGCTCTTATGGCGATCTCGCAATTGCTCCTGAGTGCGTGGACTAGAAACTTGAAATTACTTCGCTACAGTATGATGCGGTGAGGGCTCTGAACCAGATCACGCACTGCAATGCTAGAGAAGCTGTGATGCTCCCCGGTCACCACTGCAACCCTGGTGCAACCTGTAAGTCCACGCTAGCCCGACATGTGCAGGCCTCATCTTTGGCTCATCGCACTGCACGCGCCAGACGTTCCGGCTAAATTCTTGGAAGACTCGGCCAAGCCTTGGCTGGCCGTGGCGCTCAAAATGCCGTCAAGGGCTTAAGGGCCGAGTGCTTGCATGCCTCAATTCTGTCATGGGGGACCAGGAGGAGGGCGCGCGAGAGGGAGGATGAACAGGAGGAGAAGGGAGAGAGGACGAGGAGGAAGAGGAGGAGGAGGAGGAGAAAGGAGAAGGAGGAGGAGGAGGAGGAGGAGGAGGAGGCGGAGGAGGATGGAGGAGGAGGAGGGGAAGGAGGAGGAGGAAAGGAGGAGGAGGAGGAGGAGGAGGAGGCGGAGGAGGAGGAGGAGGAGAGAGGAGGAGGAGGAGGAGGAGGAGGAGGAGGGGAGGAGGAGGGGGACGCGAGAGGGGGGAAGTGGACAGGAGGCAGGGCGGGAAAAGGAAGGACAGGCGAGGGAACCGCCTTGGGGCGGTCGCCCAAGGCACCGTCCCTCCCTTCTCCCTTCCCCCCTCCCTTCTTCCCTTCCCTCCTCCTCCTCCTCCTCCTCCCTCCTCCTCCTCCTCTCCGCCACGTCTCCTCCCTCCCCTCCTCCTCATCCTCCTCCCCCCTCCTCCTCCTCCTCCTCATCCTCCTCCTCCCCCCTCCTCCTCCTCCTCCGCCTCCTCCTCCTCCTCCTCCTCCTCCTCCCCCTCCTCCCCCCCCCCAGCCGTTCTGGCTTCGGCGCAGGACGGCCGGAGGTTGGGCGGGCGTACTTCAGAACGGCACACCCGTCCGAGCCGCGGCTGCGGATGGAAGCGGCGGCTGCCGGATGCCCAGCAGTGGGAGGAGGAGCCGCGTCCCCAGCGCCTGGTCAGGCGCAGGGGGAAGCCGCCGGCCCGCTTGCCCAGGCCCGCTCGCTCGAGCTGCTTGCGGCCTTCAAGGAGGAGCTGGAGAGGCTGGTCGAGAAGCACGTGGGCTACGCGGTCGGGAACCTGGAGGAGGAGCTGCGCAGCACCCTCGTGAAGACGGTGAAGGAGGAGGTGGCCAGGCTCCGGGAGCCGCCCAAACCGCTGGAGTCGCAGCCAGCGTCGGAGGCGGGCTCGGAGAGCGCGGACAAGAGCAGCAGCGACCAAGAGGGGCCTGCTGCCCCCGCGACGCCGGCGGAGGCACCAAGGGCCCCGCAGGCAAAGGCAGCGGAAGGGCCGCCCCGGCGCCGGGCCTGCTCGCCCGAGAGACGCCGGGGCACTGCGGAGAGGGGCCGCAGCCCGGGGCGGGCACGCAGCCGCTCGCGCACGGCGGCGGCGAGGCTCCGGTCCCTCCCGCGCAGCCCGCCGAGGTCTCGCAGCCGCACCCGAGGAGCTGCGGACAGTCGCGGGCGGGGAGCCTGGGGCCACCCGAGGCGCAGGGCAAGGAGCGCAAGCCCGCCGAGGGGGCCCAGGCGCACGCGCGAGGAGGCGGCCCGGCCCTGGCGTGGTGGCGGGGGAGGGTCGTCGACCTGTCCAGCCTCGCCGCCGTGGAGCCGCGGCGGGAAGGAGGCCGGGACGCAGATGAAAGGGCCTGGCGACTTCTCAGCGCGGCAGTGGCGCAAGTGGCGGGAGCAGCAGGAGCGGGAGGAGCTTGCCCAGCTCCCGCCGGCCAAAAAGAAGAAGGTCGCCCAGGACCTCCGCAAGAAGTTGAAGGTCCTGGAGGAGGCCAGCCAGTCCGAGTGGAAGAACGCGACGGCCAGGGGAAGTGGCCCGGGCTGGAGCAGGAAGAAGACAGGCACGTGGTGAAAGCGGTGCACTACGACTTCTGCGAGTGCGAGCACTTCGAGGCGGGATGGGACCTCGAGACGGTTTTCGAGCTCTTCGAGGACTGCCCCAAGGCGGCGCTGTGCGAGGCGACGGAGCGGAACGACGCTATCGCTGACAAGCCGCAGCGCGATCTGGAGCGGGTGCAGGAGGAGCCCACAGCACCGCTTGCGGCGACAGCTTCGGCAAAGGGTCCGGAGGCTGGGCACGAGCCGCAAGCGACCCGAGAGGGCGCATGCGACCAAGGCGGCAGCAAGAAGCCTAAGAAAGGCGGCCGCCGTGAGTGGCGCAAGCTGGACGTGCACGGGGCGGCACTCAAAGAGGCCCCGGCCGCAGCCAGCGGAAGCGCAGCGAACAGCAACGGCAGCGAGGCATGCTCGAGGCCCGCGCGTGGCGCGACCAACAAGGGCCGCTACGGGAATGGGGCCGGCAAGGGCGGGCGCGACCATGAGGGGCCGCCCAGCTCAGGCTTCGCTGCCGAGTTCGTGGAAGCGGTGAGGAAGGGCTATGGGCAGCCCAAAGTAGATGAACTCGTGGAGGGCCCATTGCGCACGGAGTTCGAGGCCTGCATGGCCACGGTCGAGGGGATCCTCGTGAAGGCCGGACCCCAGAAGGCGGCGGAGTGCCAGGCCGCCCTGCTGCACACCATCGAGCAGCTGATGCAGGAGAAGGCCAGCCGTGCGAGCGGCGCGACGGCAGCTTCATGAAGCTGCAATGAGCCGGCCCGCGGTGTCTCCGTCCTGTCGGTTTTTCGGCCGGGGGCTCCAGCGTCGCCACGGTTGGACTCGGCTTGGAAGGCTGGGGGCTCTACCCTGCGGCCCAGGCGGGCTGTGGGGTAGGGCCGTGGTGCCCCTGGGTGGCCCGCTGGCCCGTCGTTTTGGTTTGTGTTTTCGGTCGGCTGCCTCTTCGTCGCCACGGTTGGACTCGGCTTGGAAAGCTGGGGGCTCTGTCTTGTGGCCCGCGCGGGCTGTAGGGCTGAGCCGTGGTGCCCCTGGTTGGCACGCTGGCCCTCTGCAGGTTTTTGAGAGCGGGCATCCGTCCGGATGACTCGCTGTGCGGCAGCTGGCGCGCCGGCGCAGGCGGGCTCCGGAGCCCGCCCTCCACCCGACCCGACCCGACCTCCTCCGCTTCCTCCTCCTCATCCTCCTCCCCCCTCGTCCTCCTCCTCCTCCTCCTCCTCCTCCTCCTCCTCCTCCTCCTTCTCCTCCAAGGAACCGTCCACTACCCATCCACCCCTCCCGAACCTCCAGCAGTCTTCTCCATCAGCGAGAAACTCGGATCCGACTCGCGAAGCCGATCATCCGACCGCCCTGGCTTGCTGGGTGCGGAGCGCGGCAACCCAAACAGCTAAGGTGTCAGAGGCTCACTTTGGTCGAAGGCGCCGTCGCTGAAGGCGAGCGTGATGGCAGCAATTCAGGAGCGCAACAAGTTCGAAACTGCGCTCGGAACTCTGCCGGTGACTCGGCGGTCATGGTGCAGTTCGGAAGCACTCCTGCGGCGCAGCAGCGCTCCTCCCAGGCGGGAGCCGACGATAGCTTCGCGGGAGCCGACGAGAGCGGCGGCGGCGTGCTGCGAGGCGGAGCCTTGAGGCGCTGGTCGGCAGGCAGGACATCCGGCTTGGGCGTTCGTGCCTTGAGGAGACTGGGGAGCTCGTCGAGGGTCAGGGCTTTACCCAAGCTGGGCATCCTCGGCCCAAAACGCCAAGAGCGCCTCTTCCCATCTTCGCGGTGATCTATCGGAACAGCGCGCTGCTCCTTGGGTTGCTCCTGGGAAGGCACGGTGCGGGTCACGCCGTTGGCCTGTGCCGGCTCGCTGCCCTCAGCCATCACAAACCACCTCACAGACTGGCACCTCCGGTGCATGAGCGCCCTGGCCGGCATGTCCCGTGCGACGACAGCCTCTCGGGTGATATGGCGACAGCGGCGCAGTCGCTGCACCACTGCGCGCCGTTGGATATGGCAGCGCGGCCGCGGGCAGGTCGGACCTGATCCGAATACTGCTTGAGCCAAAACTGTTACGAGGCATGGGAGCCTCTTGGAAGCTTTCTGGCGCCATCCGGAGGCCATGTTGAGTTGTCTGGGGCGGGGGCAAGATCACCATCATCATCATCATCATCATCATCATCATCATCATCATCATCATCATCATCATCATCATCATCATCATAATAATCGCCATCAAAATCATCACCACCACCACAACCACCACCACCACAATCATCGGCATCATCATCATCATCATCAACAACAACATCAGCAGCAGCAGCAGCGTCATCATCACAAACACCATCATCATCATCATCATCACCATCACCACCACCATCATCATCATCATCATCACCATCATCACCATCACCATTACCATCAACCTTACCATCACCATCACCATCACCATCATCATCATCATCATCATCATCATCATCATCATCATCATCATCATCATCATCATCATCATCATGGTCATCATGATCATCATGGTCATCATGATCATGATGATAATCATCATCATCAACGTCACCACCATCATCATCCTCATCATCACCATCATCATCATCATCAGCATCATCAGCTTACTGTCTTTTCGCAACCATGAGCATCATTGTTAGGATCGTTGTCGTGCGGTCGACCAAATGTTCCTGGAGTGATCTCCGGGAACATCAGGCCTGCTGCGTGTGAGGGGCTCGGACGGGCCGACGGGAGCGAAGGAGTCCGGGGAGCATTGCTGAGTTGTGGGGGTCTCGGACCGAAATTCGGGAGGCTTGTTACAGCTCCCTGTGCGCCTGTTAGAATATCTTGAAGTTTCTTGGAGCCCCGCTTCGGGGCGTTTCGAGGAGTATCGTAATGATCATCATCATCAGCAGCACCATCATCATCATCATCATCATCATCATCATCATCAGCAGCAGCAGCAGCAGCAGCAGCAGCACCTTCATCATCATCATCATCATCATCATCAGCATCATCATCATCGTCGTCGTGATCGTAGTCGCCATCGTCATCATGATAATGTTCCACCATCATCGCCATGCCACCATCATGACTGTCACCGTCATCCTCATCTACATCTTGACCATGATAGGCATCACCGTCACCTCCACCATCACCGTCATCTGCATAGCCATGGTATCATCATCACTACCATGATCATGATCACCATCCTAAACATGATCAGCATCATCACCAGCAAAACCACCAACACCACCACCACCATCATCCTCAGCATTATCGTCATCACCACCACCACCATCATCACCATCATCATAATCAGCATCATCATCATCATCATCATCATCATCATCATCATCATCATCATCATCATCATCATCATAATCGCCATCATCGTCATCGTCATCGTCCTCAGCATCAACACCCTCCTCCTCCTCCTCCTTCTCCTCCTGATCATCATCACTAAACTCATGATCGTCATCATCATCAACAACAACATCATCAGCATCACCATTACCGGCACCGACACCTTCACAATAATAATTACTATAAGCATCACCAACACCAGCACCACAATATGCATTATCAATCTGAAAGTGATCGTTAAGTCATAATGATGATCATTATCACTGACGCGGTCGTGGTGCCGTCGGCTGATGTTCCTGGAGAGGCCCCTGGGCACATCAGGCCGGCTGCGTGTGAGGGGGGCTTGGGCGGGGCGTCGGGAATGACAGATTCTGTCCTCCCGAGGACCTCTTGGGAGCGTAGTGGGGCCATCATGGAGCCATCTGGAGCTTTGGGGCCGTCTGGAGGCCGTCTGGGGCTGTCTTGGCGGTCTCGAGGGCCATCTCGAATCCATGTTCGACCGTCTCGGAGACATCTTGAAGTGTTGGGGAGGCCCCAGTCGACCGTCTTGGGTCTTCCTGGGGCTCCTTTGGGGCCAATCATGAATCATCCTGAGGCCTGAGAGGCCTCTCGGGGGCGAAAAGGCGAGACTTTAAGCAACCGCTGGTTTTCTTCAAACTTCGTTTAATGATTGTAGCCTCCTGGGGGCCTCTTGGATTTTTTCCCAACCATCCTATGGTTTTGGGTCCCCGTTTCGAAGAGACGGTCTCCGCGTTCACTCCTCCTCCTCCCGTTGCCCCCTCCCTCCTCCTCTCATAATTCATCTTCATCTTCATCTTCTTCCTCATCATCATCATCATCATCATCATCATCATCATCATCATCATCATCATCATCATCAGCATCATCATCATCAGCATCATCATCACCATCATCAGCATTATCATCATCATGACCATCATCAGCATCATCATCGCCAGTCTCGACATCATCATCACTATCACTATCACTATCACTATCACTATCATCATCATCATCATCCTCATCAGCAGCATCAGCATCAGCATCAGCATCAGCATCAGCATCAGCATCAGCATCAGCATCAGCATCATCATCATCATCATCATCATCATCATCATCATCATCATCATCTTCACCACCATCACAAGCATCATCATCATCATCATCATCATCATCATCATCATCATCATCATCATCATCATCATCATCATCATCATCGCCGTTAGATTCACCATCATCGACACTCATGTCGGCTCACCCCTAACATGCTTTGTAGCCCCATGAGGAGCTAACACCCCAGTGCCACCGTCCAAATGCGTCCCTCGCACCCATTTCGGCACACCCGTCACACGTTTCGTGGCCCCATAGGGAAATCACAGAAGGCCCCAGAGCCACCGTTCACATGCGTCCCCCGCACTCATTTCGGCACCACTCTCACACGCTTCGTGGCCCCATAGTGAGCTCCACCGAAGGCCCCAGTGCCACCGTCCACATGCGTCCCCCGCAACAATGTCGGCACACCCCTCACACGTTTCGTGGCTCCATAAAAAAGGGCTCCACCGCAGGCTCCAGCGCTACCGTCCACATGCGTCCCCCTCATTCGACACCCCCTCTCACACGTTTCGTGGCCCCGTAGGGAGCTCCACCGAATGCTCCTGCCCCACCATCCACATGCGTCCCTCACAACCATGTCGGCACACCTATCACACGCTTCGTGCCCCCATAGGGAAATCACAGAAGGCCCCAGTGCTACCATCCACATGCGTGCCCCACACCCATGCCGGCACACCCCTCACACGTTTCGTGGCCCCATAGGCAGCCCCACCGAAGGCTCCAGTGCCACCGTCCACATGCGTCCCCCACACCCATATCGGCACACCCCTCACACGTTTCGCGGCCCCACAGGCAGCTCCACCGAAGGCTCCAGTGCCACCGCCCGTATGCGTCCCACACACCGATTTCGGAATTCCTCTCGCACGTCTCGTGGCCCCATAGGCAGCTCCACCGAAGGCTTTAGTGCCACCCATAAGGAGCTCCACCGAAGGCTCCAGCGCCACCGTCCACATGCGTCCCCCACGCCCACCTCGGCACACTCCTCACACGTTTCGTGGCCCCGTAGGGAGCTCCACCGAAGGCCCAACTGCCACCGTCCACATGCGTCCCCCACAACCATGTCGGCACACCCCTCATACGTTTCGTGGCCTCATAGGCAGCTCCACCGAAAGCTCCAGTGCCACCGCCGGCATGCGTCCCCCACACCGATTTCGGAATTCCGCTCAGATGCTTCGTGGCCCCATAGGGAGCTCCACCGAGGGCCCATTTGCCACCGTCCACATGCGTCCGCTGCACCCATGTCGGCA